GTTGGACACGAAAATGAGCGACTTGTTCACTTGGACACGAAAATGCGTGGCCTGTGCAGTTGGACACGAGAATGCGCCACCTGTTCATTTGGACACGAAAATGTGCGACCTATTCACTTGGACACGAGAATACGCGACCTGTTCACTTGGACACGAGAATGCGCGACCTGTTCACTTGAACACGAAAATGAGCGACCTGTTCATATCGTTGTGATTGAGAATATTTGGGTCAAAAATTGCAATAGTTTTCACCATTTTTATATGTTGACAATGTTCTTTGGGATCAGAAGTGATTCATAGTATATGGGTAAAGATAAGAATAGAAAAGGATAAAAAATTACATAACACATTAAGATTTATGTACGGAGATAAAAGTTACAAACTCTATTTATGCTTCATAAAACGTATGTATATTTGTGACAATTTCTGCAGTTTCTTATTTTATACCTGCCTTCTGCGCAATGGCGGTATAACAATACTTATACTAAATATTTTTAATCAAATACGAAGAATTATAATATATAGTGTTATCTCCGATAAAACGTTACAAAAGAAAATCGCATATAATCACAGCGCATTGTACTATACGTAAGAATATTAAAAGAAATAGTTATCATATCTTGTATATTATAAATACGCAATTTGCGCAATTTTTATTTTATATTTGCCTTCTGCGCAATATTGCAGTATAACAATACTTATACTAAACATTTGTAATCAAATACGAAGAATTGTAACGTGCAGTGTTATCTTTCCGATAAAACGTTATAAAAGAAAATCGCATATAATCACAGCGTATTGCATTATATGTAACAATATTAAAAGAAATAGTTGTCAAAATATCTTTCTTATCGTAAATCTTTGTTATATAAAATAAAATGCCATGTTTGGTAACAGAGAACTTACGTATACTAATTATGATTAAGTTTAATTAGGAACTATAGTTTCTATAATCAAGCATTTTGAAAGATATTAATTATTACAACAAATCATAAAAAGTGCAAAATGTCTCGTTATAACTGATTTATAGCTAAATTTAGAAAACAATTAATTTTAACGAAAAAACATGCATGATTATAGCAATAAGTTACATGTAACATTAACATTTGGCTTTGGTATCTTAATCTATTTCCATTTTTTTATTTAGGATAACAAATATCTGTATGCATTACACAATTTGTAAACTTATTATATATCGGCACTTCATAGTGCATAACTTTGCCTGTAAAATTCGAATTATAAGTAGATATTTCAGATGCAATCAAAGCAATATTGCACATACAGATATTTAAGATACATTCTAAATAATGTAAGAAATATGAGTAAATTTATTTTCAAAACAGAGTAAATAAAAATAATAAAGCGTTTTCTATTCTAAAATTAGTAGACAGCAGTGTTTGTAAACAAAAAAATATTGCTCGACTCAAAGACAATTCTTATGGTCTTCTAACTTGAAGAGAATTTTCATAGATAGTATTGCAAATCGGACATCAATTTATTTCTAATTTTTTAATGCATTCAATGCAAGATGACCACATGGTATGAAAACATGTGTTCGTTTATTAGTAAAATACACCGTGCAGTTTTCTTCGGAAGGTTTTGCTCCTGACACGTTAGAATTCTGGTAATCTCTGTTAAAATAGCATGGAATGGAAGGTCTTCTTTATGAGTATTGTTATCCTCATACAAATATCTATAATCATCTCCTGGCGCCTCATATATGAATGAATCATCTGTAAAGAAAAGAGCAAAGAATGTTAAGGATATTGTCCATAGACATGTATGAAAACTTACTGTAATATACTTATTACTTGTTAACTGTTATGTCTGAGTATAAAATACTACGAAGTGCTAAGCAACGGTAGCATTACCTGACGAAATTTAAATTCTGTTACTTTTGTAACGTTTGTTTAATGGTTCATCTATCTTGTGTAAAACCACATGTAATTCTCGCAATTTCCTTGAAGTAGTATGTTGTTTCTGTGCATTTTCGTTCTCTTCACAGCAATTCTCTATAAAAAAATATATAATACGATTAATAAGAAAATGTTAATTAAAAAACAGAATATTAAGGTAAACGGCCCAGTTTTCAGCACTGTCCTAGTTTTCGGCACCGACGTTTACACTTATATTTGTAATAAATAAAGTTTCGTCAAATATAAAAAAGATTACAGGCAAATTAAAGAGCGTTTTTTACTGTTGATTATTTTGTTGATTACTGTTGGTGATATAAAGTGTGGCATGAGCACTCGATAGTGCCAAAAACACTGGCAGTAAACGAGCATTATGAAAATAATTATTTATTTATTAAAACTGAATGATTTAACTAAAAATATAAGTGAATCTTACTCAGACAGCTTTAATGCACGTGTTAAAATAGTTCGTTTGGAGTTTAACAATGTATCGCGCTCGTAAATAATATGAAATCAGGACCGCTGCTCTAAAAGTGCCTATAACTGGACCGTTTACCTTATATGTCATAAAATTTTTTGTTTATTCCTATATATATATATATATATATAGGAATAACTGTGTATATATATATATATATATATATATATACACAAACATATATATATATATATATATATAATATAATATTCCACAAAATAGAATCAGCAAAAAGAAAAAGGGTTATTGGAAAGTAGTAACAAATTTATATATTTCGTCTACGCGAGTAATATCTATATTATTACATGTAATTGAGTACAGATCATTTAGATTGCCCTAATTTAATAGGACACATAGGGCATATAGTTAACTTCATGATCCACCTTAACAAAATATATATGAAAAAATTAATTTTTTGTAATAACTAGACATTTTAAACGCCTGTTGCTTATTTATTTAAGCTATTTTTATATTATAAACACTATTAACTTTTAGATACACACAACTTTATCAACTAATAAAATATGCAATAATAGCCGCTCACGAAGTAAGCGCAACGAGAGAATCAATTGGCATTGCGGAAAGGCGACAACAATAAACTTTGATAGATTTGATTATCGACGCCTTTTTTAGAAATGAAAAGCGTCAATAATACTTTAATATATGCGACTAATTGACTTTGCACGTCTTCTTTACAAGTGGATGGATTAGCAACTGAGTAATAAATATAGACAAGAAACAACGATATAGTATCATTTCATAAGAAACGTCTAATATTAATAATTAAAAAAGAAAGAAAGAAAGAAATAATAAAAATAGTCATTAATATTTTAACTAATTTGATTAAATTTAAAAAATATAAAACTTGTAAATATGACATTAAAATTTGTACTCTTACCTTTATTAGCGTTTAACAGTTTCTTTGTTTTTTTCTGGAATGGAGCGTTTACTTTAATATCACTTTTGACATTATTGTACAATGTCCTAGATCTTGTTCTATAAGGCATATCTTTTTTATTAGATGTTGAGTTATGTACATCACTGTGACCTTCTGCAAAGAAGTAAAATTAATATTATCATTTTAGTAATAAGCAGAAGAAAATTGCAAGAATTGAAAAAAGGAAAAATGTTTATGTGATAAATATTATTTTCAAAAATTATATTTTATGACATATTCAATATTTTAATTATGTAGTACTGCAAGAGATAAATCTAATTTTTCGTAAGTTGAATTTAGATGTTTATTGTAGACGTTTACAACTTAAAAGTTAAAAGTATACTTAATTTATTTATTCTTTTTAA